GGCAACTTGGCGATTGCTTGAACGGTGCAGAAGTTGATATGCTGTAGCGCCACCTGGTGGGAAGCTGAAACAAAGAGGATAGCACAAAAATCTTCTCCAAAAAATACATATGCATGACAATTTTCATAGTGATTAGTTAAACGGTGTTGGAGTGATGCGATTTCATATATACAAACATCATTTTATATATATAGATAGATAGAGAAAAAATTAAAAAAGAAAAGAGCCAAAAAAATAAACATAGAAGATTGTAGGCTTAAGTCAGACAGCATTCTCAAAAACATTCTGAAAATTATGACCTTTTGTGATTTGCCAAGACGCATAAATTTATTTTCGATTCAATATGTAGAAACCTGTATAAATTAATCTGAGAAAAAATTAATCGAAAAATTATTGTCTTGTCTACTTGATATTTATACAAAGGTAATGAAAATGCTATTCAGAGTCTCTTCCCACTAGCCTTGCTATTTATAATGTATTCAAATAATCGCTCTACTCACACACCCCTATACCTTCTGAATTAAAGACCCCTATTAATTATTCCCTCAATAAATCACCAACCAATCGAAGTTCGATACTTTTTCCTTCTCTCTCGACACGTTCCCGCACTCTCTAGAGGCTACCCTCTGACACCTGCCCCCACTAACATACACCCCCCCCATCATCTAATTAAAAACAGGCAGAAAATTCATAGTGTCTAATGCGCTCTCCCCCTAGTCTTAATGGCTAGCCTTCGGGTGATTAGGACACTTTTCACAAAATGCTAATGGCCCGCTTCCGACTTCGGCACAAAAGAAAAGTTAATGTTTGATGGCACTTTAATGTGTCTTTGGCTCTCTCGAAAAGACTCCCATTTTTCTTGCTGTTGTTGTTCTTCTCTTCTCTTTATTTCTAGAGGGGGTTTTGTTTCTAGGCTTTGATTTGTATTTTACTGCTTGTCACCCTAGTCATTGTAATGGAAGGGGGGAGGGGGCCTTGATTAGGGTGGATGTGCTTTTTTTTCTGCTTGGTTAGTCTCTTTTTTGATGATGTAATTTACCCCGCTTAATAGAGTGTTAATGGGTTTTTGAGCTTTTGTGTAGGGTACAGATTTAGAAAAGTACGTTTATAAAGTGTTTTCGTTCTGGGGTTCCCCCCCCTACTCGTTAGGAGGGATTTTGATGATGTTGTTAATATACAATGAGGTTATTCGTTGATAAAACGCTAAAGAGTAATTTTAAAAAAAAGTTATGTGATGCGAATGATTTTGTGATTCGAATAATGATAAATTTAAAAAGCAAAATATTTCATTGTTCTGTTTGAAATTATAAAAAGTAACTTATAAGAAATAAATTGAGAGTCAGTACTTATATTTCTGGTGATAAATAGAATTCTTCCATTTTATACTTTAAAGGAAGATATTACAGATGCTTTTAGATTTGTTTACCTCAATAATTTTTATTATATTAATTAAGTTACATAAGTTATATTATAATAATAACAGATGCTGTGTGTGTGAGTTACACATTTTATTAATCATAATCATGAAGTTATTACATCTTATTTACATGATATTCTTTATGTATTATTAGTATGATATAGAGTAATATAGGCATTAAATTTTTAACATAAATTGCATTAATAACAATTTATTGTGATTATAAGTTTAGTAATTATTCATTATAATCATGAAGCTATTACACACATTATTTGTATGATTTTATATAATATTAAAATGATATGGCAATATAGGCATCACATTTTGAAAAAAATCCATTAATAACAATTTATTATGATTATAAATTTAGTTCATTATTCATTATAACCATTGAAGCTATTACACAATATTTGTATGATATTCTTTATATATTATTAGTATGAGAGGGCAATATGGGCATCACATTTTTAATAAAATACATTAATAACAATTTATTGTGATTTTTAAGTTTAATTCATTATCCATTATAACCATGAAGCTTTTTACACATTATTTGTATGATATTCTTTATATATTATTAGTATGATACGGCAATATAAGCACATTTTAATAAATTGCATTAATAACAATTTATTGTGATTATAAGTTTAGCTCATTATTCATTATAATTGTAAGGCTATTACACCGTATTTGAATGATATTATTTACATATTATTAGTATAATATGGAAATATAGGCTGCACTTGACCATAGTTCAAATTTATTGTGTTTCGTAAGGTTTAGTTCATTATTCATCATTAACAGTTATCTTTACAATTATTCGTAATGAAATTTTTAATATAAAAATTATTATTAATTGATTTTGCAATATAAGACTGCATTTTTAAAAATAGCATGAAATTTTTACAATTTATTGTGATTATAAGTTTAGTTATTAAGATTTCCAAGTGATTCCCAACGGTTATCTGCCGTGTATAGGGAGCCGATGTACGTTAAATCTGTCGAGGCTCAAACATCCTTCCATTCATGTAGTGTGCAGAAGGGGTCGGGTGACGTGCTCGTCACTTGACCATGGTTCAAATTTGCTATGTCCGTCACCAATCGCCCTCTAACGGCTTCATAGTTCATATAAATCTCACTCACTTCGAACAGTTATCTTTAAATTATTCGTAATGAAATTTTTAACTATAAACCAAACTCTTATTGATTAATTTAGATTTTAAATAAATATTATTTGACCCATTTAATAATCGAGCACTGAAATCTTATACAAATCAGCCTTTATTTGTATGAGCCCTTATATATACTATTCATTTAAAAAAAACCTTATTTCGAAGTAGATTTAGGTACTCCAACATAATATTTTTGTGCTCATTTTAAACATCGTAATTCGTGCACAAGAATTTATTCTAATATTCAATCAACTTATTTTTTTAAGTCAAAACACTTTTCAAAGGAGAATTTTATTAAATATTTCTCTTAAGAAAGGACACAATACACAATAAAGATTATTTCGCTAAAAATTATCCAAAAGGCATGAACCTTTTATTGTAAATGTGATATTTCACTAAAACCATACCAGTAAAGCTATCCTTTTACTGAATTCATAAAAAAACCCAAAATATTCTAGATATTTTCTATTTATTTTATTATATTAATCTGAGGATATCTATGATCGCAATACATTTTCATGTATCTTGCAAATATTTTATATTATTCATATAACAAGAAAGATTTTTAAAAATAAGCATCAAGAAAAAACAGACAAAATTTAATAGTTCTGATTTTTATGTACTAATAAAAGTGTTACTATAGAATTCTTCAAATAAGAATGTATCATTATTAGTTAAATCTAGATATATATTTTTTTAAAAAAAGTATAGCTCTATAAAAAAATTTTAATCATACTTTTGTTAAATATCTAAATTAATTTCCAACTTTTTCTACTTTTGGCTCGCGATGATAAAGAGCAGAGAAAATATTGATCAACGTGTTTGTAGTTTTAGAAGTATAAAATTGAAATTAAGTTTTACGAGACATATAATACACGGGTGTTTTTCGTACTTTTTGTTTTAAACTTTGTAACCTCATTACTGAATAATGGTATGAAATTAATTGCATAAAAAAAAATTATTATTTACCAATAACTCCAAAATTTGATAACAAATTAAATAATTCAGAATTATAAAACCGTTTACTTGTAAGTTAGACTTGCAAATTCATTTATTCCATCTAAATCTTTCGACCCTAGCAAGAATTTTGATATTCCTTACTCATTTTTTAAGACTAGTAAGAGTTTCCGATATTTTAATATCCGTTAATTCATTTCGTAGCTTTTTTTTAAACTTAATTCACGGAAGTTTTTCCTCAAATTGAATTTAAACATAAAAGCTTCAAATTTTCATTAAAGAAGCCTTTTCTTTCGCATTTAATCTTAATAAAAAAATTGTAAATTATGCTTATATTTATAGTGTATTCAATATATAGTACAGATGAAATCTCTCTCTCTCTGTTTTAGAGAAAACAATAACGTACATTTTTTATACAACAAAAAATTGCATAATCAAACTTGCATGCTTTTCATTACATAAAAATCCAAATTATTTTTCAAAAATATTTTAATTGTTATCTATAATTATTTTGTTTTCTATTAATGGGACATTTTTTTAAACAGTGCAACAAATAAAAAAGTTTTGTAATTGAATACTTTTTCAATTCCTACTATTAGCTCCTCTCTCTCTCTATATATATATGTATATATTTATCTTGCTCAAATTTTCAATCGTTAAGAAAATACTTTCTATTCATCCATTCAAAGTAGGAATTGACTTAATTTTTTATATTAGTTGTTTGTAGTATCCTCACTAAATTCAATTTAAATAATTATTATGTTATATTTTCATTGTTAGCATTAAAATACAATACGTCAGTTTAGAGTTTCATGTAAGAACTTTTCTTACAATATTTCGTTTGTTGTTGTTGTTGTTGTTCTAATGCCCCCTGTCTGATAGTGTCAGAGGCCCACGAAATTAGTCACTGCAAAGGGCTAAATGTACGCCTGTCGTTATCTGTAGCTTTGAGCACCATACAGGTGACAGTACGTTTTGGCTCGGTTCTACCCCAATTTTGAGGGAACACCCTGGAGATGGTCAGGGTCCTCCAAGCTTTCTTCCCCTTCCACCAACCTCACGAGAGGACTCAAGGGCCATTTAGAATACCCTCATGACACAAAGGCAATATACATTCATAAACATCAATGCCTTCTCCAGGATTTGAACCCAAGCCCAAAAAGTCGTTTTCTTTCTAATACTTACTTAAGTCAATTCCTACATAAATCAACAAAGAAAAATTTTATTTCAGTTATTTTTATTAAATAATTACAATTAATATAAATGTGTATATAAATATGACAGGATCACAATATTAAGTGGCAAAATAGAAAGTGGTTTTCCTTGCCATTTTCCTTTCTATATGTGGTGTGGGACTATTATTTTTGTTTGTTACTATATTTATTCATTAATTAAATTCAATTATTCCAATAAATTCGTATAGTAAAAGGAAATCACATTCTCAAAAATTAGGCCATTCCTGGTAGGATTTGAACCCATGACCTTTGGATTTCAAGTCCAACGCGCTGTCCGTTACGCTACAGGGACACAACGAACAATTTTCCTTTTTATATATGGTGTTGGACTATTATTTTTGTTTGTTACTATTTATTCATTAGTTAAATAGAATTAATGAATTAATATTAGAAAAAACTATTTTAACATTAAGTGTCATCCACTACAAGTTTAAAAAAATGCATTTGAACTTTAGTGGATGAATAGAAATTATTTTATCAAGGATTGAAAATTTGAACAAGATATATATAAATAAGGAGAGTGTGAACTAATAGGAATTGAAAAATAAATGCTGTTTTAATTCTGAAACTGTGAATACAACTAAATTTAACGAACTATAAACTATATCTAGCATGAAAACGTCAATCGTTTTTCTTATACCAGACGATAAATTTACGCAATATGGGACGTCATTAACTACCTCCCATGGTTCAGAAGTGATTGATTAATCCTTAGACCCCTTGGGAGAGCATAAAATATTCTATGATGATATAAGAATATCTATAATCAATAATATGAATCATACGAAGTTTGAGAACTCTTAGATCATTTTTGATGCATTTATACCTATACTATGCGATCCGATACTCTTTTTTTATTGAATGTTGAATGGTTGCCTCAATCCATAACTTTTCAATAGAAAGATTAATTAATAATGCAGTTGAACAAAATCAGATTTTTTACTAAAAAAGTACGGAAATTGTAACTAGGTTAAAACCACTATTCATACAAACAATCTGAATAAAAATATTTTATATTCTAGATTCAGTTTAATGCTAAATTTGTTATTGATTCACGTCAAGCTTTTAACATTAACCATTAAAATACAGGATTTCTTTAAAATGTACAGCATAAAACTTGGTATTAAAACAAATAAAATGTAATTGTCAGAGATAAATACAGTTGAACCTGTTTTTGTGCGGTTGATAGGAACCGCATAAAAATAACCGCACAAAAAAATATTCTAAAATTTCATGAATTCTTACATATAACAAGCAAACTCATCGAAATACTGCAGAAATTTTTTTTTATGCTGTCGCACAAAAATAAAATCGCATAAAAAAGGACCGCACAAAAACAGGTTCTAATGTAATCCATTACCATGTATTCAATTTCCAAATTCTTTTCCTCTGAAAACCCACCGTGTAGGGGAGCGATGCACGTTAAATCTGTCGAGAGCTCAAACGTCCCCCCGTGGCGTGGTGTGGAATTTAGGAGAGGGCGGTGCTGGCTCAGGGTCGTCCTCATCACTTGACCATGGTTTAAAGTTGCGAGGTTCGTCACCGAAAGTCCTCGGGTAACAGAACAGGACGACTTTCATATTCACTCACTCCACATTCTTTTACTTTAAAATGTATTAAGATATTCTTTAAAGTGTGTGGAGGGGTGGATGGGAAGAATAGCTGACTTTCAGACTATGTTTAACCTTAAAATCTTAATTCAGCCAGAATCACCAGTGAAGAGGATATAACTCGGTACCTCCTGATTCGTAAGCGCGTAACATACCACTAGACAAAAGTGATCCCCTCTGTCTGGAGGCGTATCCTGGCCTATGTAGATGTTACCGCTACAATACTCCCCCATCAGTGAGTCGGTGAATTGACGAACGAACGAGATATTTGTTAAGGCGAGCGTGTGGGTTCATGCGTCAAGTGGGTCTGACGACTTTTGGTTGCTCTTTTTGCGGATAGATAGCGCCACGGATGATCGGAAGGGGTTGCCTTTTTCTTTATTCAGCCAGGGTCACCAATGAAGTGGCGCTAATCCGGAGGACAAAACCCACCACTATGAATTTCTAAGCACGTAGCATACCACTAGACAAAAGTGATTTTCACTATCCGAAGGCTGTTATTGACTTATGTAGATGATACCGCTACATACTCATTTATCGACCCACTGAGTCGACCTTGCCTAGCCCGGGGTTTGAACCCAGAACCTATGGTATGGAAACGCGATACGCGCTACAATTTTCTTTTCTGTGCTAAAAAGAATGCTGAAAAAGAAAGGCTTTGCAATTCAGGAGAAGACATTTTCGGCTTCACAAGTATCACAATGAGATATAAAACATTCATCAAAGAATTAAAAAAGAATTTAATTTTTAATATATTTTAAAAACTTCCTTTAGAAGCATTTTTTTTTAAAAAAATTTCAGGCGCAAGAATAACAAAACTATAAACAGTTAGCTCATTTTATCCAAAAAACCTTTAAAATGTATTTCATGTTTCAAAACGATATTGCAATGCATCGCTCATAAAAAAAATATGAGCTTTGTTCGCTTTTATCACATTTATATCGAAAAAATACTCAATCATATTCATCGTGATTTCATTTAAGTTTGTAACAAAACTAAGGAATTGTGTAATATTGATTATAATTATAATTAACAATAAAATGGTATAGTTTCCTTTTACCGATTTATAAATGAAATATATTATATATATATATATATTATTTATTTTCCTATAGTTATAACTAGAATGTAAATACTTAATTTTAAATGGAAGCTTCATTTTCTTCTTTCACTGAAATTGAAATACGTATACTACGAGGTGTGACACAAAAAAAACGAGACTGGTCTAATAAATCACTGTATGTACAGAATCAGTTATCCGTGAAATTATCAACTTCAAAGTAATTCCCTTCAGCATTCACACACTTCTGCATTCGATGCTGCCATTGCTGGGAACAGTTCTGGAACGAGGTTTTCGGAAGGTCCTTCAAGAGATTCTCCGTTTTTTGCTTGAACCTCTTCAGCTGAGGTAAAATGGGTTCCCTTTAAGCAAGATTTAACTGTAGGAAATAAAACAAAGTTGCATGGGGCCAAATCAGGAGAATAAGGAGGATACCCCCTCTCAGTAATGTTTTTGCTGGTCAGAAAAACTGCTTGACAGATAAGGCCGTGTGAGTGAGTGTATTGTCTTGGGGCAGCAGCCATCTATCACTCCCCAACTCTGGCCTCTTTTTTTTCTAATTTTTTCACGAAATCTTTTTATTACTTCAATGTAGTAGTGTTGATAAACAGTTTGACCAATGATGTAAGTGGGAACTCACTCATATCCCCAACTTGGCAATGTTTTGGCTTATAATCGCTTACCTTGGGCCCCAGCAGGTGCATCATCTTCTACACTGTCCCTTTCCCTCTGAAAAACGCTTATGCCATTCAGACACATGTACACGAGACAAAGTTTCATCTCCATAAGCCTTGGTTATTATTTGAAAGGTTTTCGTGACGGATTTCTAAGGTTTCACAAGAAACTTTATTTTGATTCGACATTTTCCGGCGGAATGCAATTGCACGTGTTCACTCACACACAATGACGCAGTACTCTCAATTGGCGTGATCGGTTAAGGTATCCGACTACGTTCGGAACCGTGATTTCACAACAGCGTATAAATGGATAATATTTATGATATTTTGAGTCACTTAGACTGCAAAACGTATATAAAATTGTTTTAAGAATATTATAACAGTAAAAAATTATTTAAGTACAATATTTTGGTAAAAAATTTAGCATGGAATGACCCATTTTCAAAACATTCTCCTTTTATGATAAATGCTTCTATTGTAATAACATTTTACCTGTATATAGCTCAGACCTCTGTACAGAGACTCAACTAGAATTTTTGAAATATATTACTTAGAAGTGGGGTTATCCATGTTTTACGACAACAGAGGGGAGAAATTTTTAGAAAAGAACGCCAATAATGATTTCAATGGGTGGTAACTCTGAAAATAATGTGAATTTTTCAAAAATTCTAGTTGCGTCTCTGTAGAGAGATATATACAGGCAAAATATTAGTATAATAGAAGCATTTTTCACAAAAGGAGAACATTTTGAAAAAAAAAGTTATTCTAAGTTAATTTTTTGCCAAAAATATTGTATTTAAATGATTTTTTTTGTCAAAATGTCCTTAAAATAATTTTATACACGTATTCTAATCTAAGTGACACTAAATATCATGAAAGTTATCCATTTATGCGCTTTTTAAAATCACGGTTCCGAACGTAGTCGGATACCTTAAAGCTAAACTGGCCACATGGATAGAGGAGATGCGTGAGATGACATCATCAAACAATTTTTGCCAACTCCACTCTTTTTTCAAGCACACCTTTTTTTTTAATTCCATAACTGAACAAGCGACAAATAGTCAAACTTTAAGTATGTGATTATTCTAACCATATAAACTTGATATTCAATAATCTAGATATGAATAAACATGATTTATTTTTATCTCATAATCCCTATTTATATTTACTGATTTATTATACACGCATATCGGTAAAATATTTTTTAAGATATTCTTATTCAAAAATTGTTACTAATAATTCAGTTAATTTGTCGAATATACAGAGAAAGACTGTTATCGCATTACTGTTGCATTATAACTTAATAAATCATGAGTGAGAGAAATAGACGTGTACGATGACTTTTATTTATTATAAGTAATATATATGATAATGAGGATCTCTTTGGCATTATCTCAATGTATACTGAATAACTTTCTTATATTTGAGTCTGCTCTGTCCCTAATTAAACCACACAAACTAAGGAGAAAGATGAAATATTAGCATTTTAAGAATTATAAATAGATTTAAGGATGTATTAATAAACTTTTCATTGTAAAAATAAGTGTACTCAATTACTTTGAAAAGGAAATTGCTCGATAAAATATTTAGTTTATGCATTTTGTATGAATTATTTATTATTTTGGTTAAAAATAATCGCATCCCAGACATTTTATATATCATAGGTATATATTTAGATTAATATAAAGAATAAATTTTACAATAGACTCTTTTGTCAACCAAAAAAAATCATATTAAATTCAAATTTTGTCAATAAATGTAAAGCAAATCATGTGTATAAATGAAAACGAACGAAAATTGTATTTAAATTTAAAGTATTTTTCATTTATTGTTAGTTTTTAGAGGTAGTTTTTCTGAAAAAACTGCTTACTTTGATGTCTTTTCTTTCGACTTTTTCTTTAAAATTTGTTATTCAATCTCGTCTCGCAACATAGAAGAACTTAAA